CACACACACACACTCACAGACACAGACACACACATATGTATTCATTCAAACATAACTTTTTTGTTTCTGGTTTTGAAACACCTTTTCTTCAGAATGACATTTTGTGGAAGAGGACTCGATTGTCTGAAAGTGTCCTGAAGATTGAAAAAGCACTTGATAACCCTAGAGGGTACCTGTATGGAATTTCTATCGAAAGTACACCTGCAAGTGGTATTTTTTGGACAAGTTGCATCTATGTCAGCGAAACAGGTAATTTCTTTTACGTACCGTAGTACATACCTGCATCCTATTGTGGAACGATACATGCATGAACTGTAACTAGATCTAAATCTCCTTTACAACATCACAAATGTTATAAGTGTAAGCTTATGACTTTCGATCTTCTTCTTTTAATCGTTTTCGTCCTCTCATTTCTTAAAAATCTGGGGAAAGAATATTGTTACACCACATGGATCAAAAAATGTTGCCATTACCTTTCTCCTCATTTCCCTTTTCTACTTTTCATCCTGTAACCCGTGAGCATAATGTTATAGTTATAGTCAAGCGCTTTAAATAAAATATAGCTATCCACTGTACTAGTATGATTAGAAGTAGGCCTGTATATATATATATAACAAATACACACTCACACAAGCATTTCATTATAACATAAACTAATATTAGGGGGTTTCACGCTCGCCCGGCGAGTGGGGACTTCCGCTAAAATCCCGGGTTTTTTCTCTTTCTCGGCTCATAAGTTTATTAGTTCTTAGCCTAGCCTAGCATCATAAAACCAACATGAAACGAGAGGTCTATATGTGCTTTTTGTTGCCATGTTAGTATCAATGGGGGGAGAAATATGTAGCATTATCGATTTTTGAGTTAAAACTACAAGGTTCGTTACGCGTTCTACCGCAAAGCGTGGCACGCAAATTTTGACAAATTTAGAGTGCAGCTTGTTTCGGGCGGTTTATTCAAGCTGAATTTTCGATCGCTAATTGTTGTAGATGACCTTAGAAATCACTTGATTCTGTAGTAGAATTGGACGCTGAAGAGTTTGCAACCCACCCAGAGTTTGTACGACGCTTGTGTAAAAAGTTATGGTAAAATATATATTTTACCTTCAAAATTCTTTTTTTAAATTAACAATAGAAAATGCTCCCGGGGGACGTTAGATTGATAGCTAAATCAATTAGCTGTCTAGAAATGTCATTTTTGTTAAAAATGATTAAAGTTTTGTAGAAGAAAATCGAACTTTACTACACTACCCTAGTTCACTTCGTAAGGTACCAAAAAAAAATCACCCGCTGAGTCAGAAGTCAGAGGCAAGTAACTCTGGATTTTTAATGTAACTGATGTAAACAAACAACTGTCATCAAAGGTATGACTAGTTTTGGTAGTACAAGGGTGACCAAAATTATTATTAACGGCCAAAGATACTTTTTTTATATTTGAATACTGAATATAAGAAAGTTGAAACTAAAATGAAACTTTCAAAGTCAAAGGATATTGAAAAATGTGGTAGGATTTGGTCTTTCTCCAATATGATAAAAAGAGTTAATTCGTATCAATCCAAGAAGGAAAAGGTTGATTGAAGAAAGCGCAGGTCAGGTACTAGAAAATCTTGATCGATGACGGGGGGGGGGGGGGGGGGGGGGGAGAGGGGGGGCGTCACCCCCTCTTTTTTTTTTTTTTGGGGGGGGGGGGGGGGGCGGTCCCCGACTCTGTGTGCATAACGCTAGCATCTGCGTTTGTCGCAGCCGCGACCCGCGAATCGTATTTTTTGGTCAGCGAATAGCGGCCGCGATTTTCGCATAAGTTTAAAAAAAAGACAAAACAACAAAGCTACTTCATAACATATTAGACATGTATTTTGATAAGTTTTAAGATGTCCATGTGTATCTATTTTCATGCGGAGAATATAAGTACATTACATTACATACTATTTATATTGCTGTCTGTCTTTTATTTTTCTCTCTTTGTTGTGTTTTAATTTGTTGGTGAGTTAATTTTTCTAAAAATTGTTCTGATTATTCGTTTTTCTTCTTTTTTTTTTCGTTTTTACAGCGTAATGTCCTTTAATTTAATGCTGTTCCTACCCTTTTAAAAATATAAATGTGTTATGTTAGAGTGTGTCTCCTCCAAAACCGAATACTGACACTGGCACACCCCAATTGTGTGTGATTCCATAATATAATTTACGTGTGGTATCCTACAAGCCTACTTTTTCTTGAATTACACACGTTTGGGGACAAAACAGCCAATCTTCAGTTAGGTGGACTCGCGCCCTAATTAGTTAATTTTTGTGGTTATTTATACGTGCTGTTCTAGTTTTGATTTCATTCTATTGTGAAACCTTTATTTTCAACGTTTTTGACCCTCTTGGTGACTACAAATGATGTTCTAGATGCTCAAAACAGAGCACAAGAAATTCTGGTGCTATAGATTGTTACCTCTATCAACATATTGCTATATTACGTCGTTACAGAGAGTTGAAAGCTTGAAAATTAATGGTAACTTTTTTTGGCAACTTTTGCCACTTTTTGTGGCTACTTTTGGACAAAAAATGGCAACAAACGCAGATGCTAGATTACGCAGTAATCATTTGGTGCAGAGTTAAAAATAAATTGAAAAATCTTGATGATAAGTTCACTTGGCAGCAAGGCAAGGTGAAATAATAATTAGTATTGAGCTCCTCAGAAGAAGGATATTATTATATAAATGATTGTTGCTCCTGCCAAGTACAGTGGCTCAGAAGCCCATGTTACTTTGAACTTCTGTTGTGAAATGAAAAAACGGAATCTTGTTGTTGACTGAGAATATTGCTGGTCTGGCAATTGGTAATATGGCATGGTATCGTAGGGAGTTTACTTACTATGTACTTTGTCTATCTTTAGCAGCCTCTGTTACCTTTATACTTATGGTGTCGAGGCGAGAAGCAAACATCTTTCTCTTGATTGTTATGTTTGCTTGTATTGTTTTTGTTCAATGTTTCTCCTACTGTTCCAGCAGTTGAAAACATCTCTGTGTTGTTGATTTATTATTGTAATATGACATCAATGACCTCTGGCAGTCTGGCCTTCTCAAGCGAGCGAGGGATGAGAACGTATGTATATCCATTAGGTAAATTATGGACCCAGTATGCATGATCACACTGGGTTGGGTCAGAATGAGAAAAGGGCTGGCCATTGCTCGTGATATCAAAACAGGTCTCTGCTGTGTTTCATCAAATTTGACGTGTGAGTCCATTAGGGCCTCCTATTGCATTCCGTGCGCAAAGAAAAGATCTGACTCTGCTATGTAGTAGCCTTCTGATTGACAGGTGACTTGCATCCAATGGACAAGATTATGACCAAGAAAATCCAACATTTAGAACAATCAAAATTTGTTCAAACCTCGCCTATTTGGTAGCTTTTACCCCCCCCCCCCCTTTGAAGGAAAAGCAAGCCATCCCCAAATGCATCAAACTGCATCAAATGGTGCTTTGACAGAACTGGGTATTTGAGTATTATGCCTGGAGCTCCTTGGCAGGATCAGATGGGGTCAGATCGAATCAGGTCATTTAATGGCGGCTTCAGAGCACACTACTAATACTTTGTAATGAACCCCGTCCTAGTTGTGTCAAATTTGACCCACAGCTACATCAGCTCACCATTCCTTTAAGCACAGCTGGCATATGATGGAGGATTTGAAATGCAGCAAATTGTGAAGAGTGCTGATGAATAAGATTTCCCTAGAGCCCCCCCCCCCCCCCCCCCCCCATCATTCCCCGGCCCAACATAATAGGTTTGATTACTGAAATGATAACTCTTATGTACACCTTTCGTTCACAGAACATCCGGGTATTCCCGTTCCAAAGGACGTCGTTGTGCAGTCGAGTGGCCCTGGCAGTCTTTTACTCACTTGGCCCATGCAGACCTGTACCTATGAGACAAAGGCCATTGTCACTGGATACGTCGCTAAATATTGCAAGGAACATGAGTGCAATGGTTGGTGGAACATTGTAAAAATGTTATTAATTGTTGTGTCCATGATTTTTAGAAGAGTTTGGGATATTTTCTATATTAGTCCATCCTATTTCAATCAGTACTGTATGAATGGTGTCAGGAATTTTTTTTTTTTTGATCATTCAAAAAAATATACATAAATACACTTTTTTAAGATGAGAATTTGAACCCACCATACCCTCTTCCTGGCCTTAAACCACCACTATGGAAAAAGAAAGGCAACAAACGGGACTGCACACTGTACAGAGGCATCTCTTTATTAAGGGGGGGGGGGGGGGGTACACCTGAAGGCTATCTCGCTTATAACTGGACAAAATTTTACCAAATTTCACACATGTAACATGCATAGTAAAAAGTTGTTCCCGCATCCGATCCGGACATTGGGGATTGCTTTGTTAGTGAGACAACTTTCTGGGCCTTCGGCGTATTGTGGCCAGTTCCTTTCCACGCTGCCTTTACCTCCCCAACTCGAAGTCAGGTACCTATTACTTCTGGGTGGGCAGGAGGGGGCGAAAAAAATCCGTGTCCGAACCGAGGCTCGAACCCGGACTTTCCGCTTCGGAGACGAGCGCACTAACTGCTCTGCCACCGCACCCTCAACAGGCATAGTAAGGAGTCTTAAAATCCGCAATCAAATTTGAGAAAAATGTTTCGTTTCCAAGGATACGGCGATCATATTCGATTTTGTTGACATGTCTTACGTAATGAATACCGCACTTATTGTCCATGGAAATTGATTGTTTTTTTGCATGCGTGTTAACAAACATTAGATCGAAAAATTTGTCTGTTGTTTTTTTATACTAAATGAATTAGGAATTTATTAATACATCTTTTCCTCAGGTAGCATTCAAGTGTGCAAAAAATCCCTAAAAATCCACACTCCAGACAACACCAACAAAAAGCTATTCCATTTATCAAACATTCAACCAACAAATATTGAGTATTACATCTTTTCTTCATTCTGTGAAAATTTCATGAAGATCAGATGAACAATAGTGGAGTTATTTAAAAAAAGTATAGAGAAAAGTCGCGTATTGAGAAAACGGCCGATAAAGAAAAATAAAATATTGGACTTTATGAGGAAATGGTGGGGACAAAAATGCTCGGTATGGGACAAAATACTGTTTTTGGGGGTTCTTATGCGATGAAATAGTAGTAGGAGAGGCCGAGGAAGCTAAAAATGCCTACAACACTAATTCCATAATTTTGAGCCGAATCGGGGAATTGGGGGTGTAGCCCCCCCCCCCCCCCCCTCTTTAAGTCACGTAGGGAAAATATACGCCAAGATGCTAGAACAGCGGATAAGACCTATTGTGGAGAGAAATCTGAGCAACGCTCAGTTTGGATTCCGAAAGGCAAGAGAATGCACGGATACTGTATTCGCATTAAGACAGATGTGCGAGAAAACAATCGAACACAACAAAGAATCCAACATCGTCTTTATAGACCAGGAGAAGGCTTTTGGCACAGTAAACCATGCAAAACTCTGGAAGACACTTGAAAAGTATTGCGTCAGAGGATGTTATGTCAGAGCTCTATACACCAACAGCAAAAGCTCAGTAAGAACGAAGGAAGGCAATGCAGACTGGTTCAAAGTAAGATCTGGAGTACGACATGGATGCCTTTAATCTCCCCTACTGTTTATAATATTTAAGGACACAAGAACGCAAGTCTCAAACCAAAGCCTAGAAAGCCTAAATGATCTTCTATTTGCAGACAACCAAACCAACAAAGCCTCCAAAATCACAGTACCGAACTGAACAACAGCTGTTGAAAATTTAACATGAAAATAATCACATCAAAAACAGAAGTTATGAAAGTGAGCCGAAACCATAGTCCCCTGAACATCCATATCAATAGTAAACAACTGAAACAGATGAAGGAGTTTAAATGTCTATGCTGTACTTTTTTTTTTTAAACGGGTCCGTCTTATTTTACTTAGCTTTATCCGTCCTCTTGTACCTCTAGGGCGTTGAGGGGAGACAGAGCTTCCTGTCTCTAGCAAGTTTGATTGCCTGGCTGGGTGGGATATTGAATGTTCTCAGGGTATCCTTCACACTCTGGATCCAGGTCTTTCTTGGTCTTCCTCTTGCTTTGTACCCTGACACATTCCTGTAGTAGACTTTACTGGCAGGCTGGTTAGGTGCCATACGTGTGAGATATCCCAACCCCCTGATTGTTTGCCTTCGGATGTAGTGGAGGACAGATGTTGTTCCCACCATTTCTCTAATCTTGTAGTTTCTGACCATGCCCCGTCTGGTTTTGTTGACGGCTCTCCTTAGACATCTCATCTCGCTGGTGGTTATCTTACGTTCCAGACTTTTGGTCAGGGTCTATGTCTGACACTGGTAGGTCAAGGTGGGGATGAAGATAGAGTTATAATGAGTTGGTTCTTTGGTCTCAATGAGGATGTTAGGATGTTTGAGGAGCGGGGCAGGCTAAAGATAGAGTTATAATGAGCTTGGTTCTTTGGTCTCAATGAGGATGTTAGGATGTTTGAGGAGCGGGGCAGGCTAAAGATAGAGTTATAATGAGCTTGGTTCTTTGGTCTCAATGAGGATGTTAGGATATTTGAGGAGCGGGGCAGGCTGGTGGGTGACGTTGTTAGCCTTTTGTACTCTCGTCTCAATTTCTCTGTTGAGACGTCCGTCTTCCGAAAAGATGTTACCAAGATACTTGAACTCGCTGACTAGTTTCAGCGGATTTTCGTCAATTGTGATGTTAAGGTTGCCAGGTGTTCTGCTGACTTTCATTGTCTCTGTTTTGCTTTTACTCATCTTCATGTTGAGCTTTTCACTTTGTGTATTCAGCCAGTCTCGGTGCTCCTGAAGTTGCTCCTCTTTCTCTTGTGCCAGGCTTTGATCGTCCGCAAACAGCATCTCATTCAGATCTATCGGGTTGGAGTTTGCTAGTTTTGTAATTTTGTCCATGTATATTATAAACAGTAGAAGTGATAACACACACCCTTGTCTTACTCCAGATGACACGTCAAACCAGTCAGAGAGTCCGTTTTGGGTGCGGACTGTGCTCATACTGTTGGTACAGATGGCTCTGATGTTGTCCCAGAGTTGTCCCCTAATGCTGTACTCTTCAAGTGTTTGCCACATTTTGTTTCTATCTACTCTATCAAACGCTCTTTCCTGGTCTACAAACACAAGATTTAGTTCTTTGTTGCATGCAATTGTTCTTTCACTCAGTTGTCTTAAAGTTAGAGCGAAGTTAGCGTCTCTGCACCCTCTCCCTTTTCTGAAGCCCATCTGCGCCTCACTCAGTAATGGTTCCACCTTGTGACTTGTACGCTGTTCCAAGGTCTTTGCGTACATATTGCCTGTGTGGCTCAGAAGGGAAATTCCCCTGTAGCTGTTGCAGTCTTTCTTGCTGCCTTTCTTCTTCCAGATTGGTATCACAACAGCACGCTGCCAGTGTTCTGGGACTTTCCACTCCCTCCAGGCTTTTTTCGAATATTATGGTCAGCCAGGTGATTGCTGTTTCTCCACATGCCAGGATGGCTTCAGTTGTAATGCCAGCAATGCCTGCTGCTTTGTTCCTTGGGCTATTCTTCAGTGCCTGCTGTACCTCTGATCTTAAGATGTTTGATTCTTCTTCTTCTGCGTATTGTAGTTGAAATTGGCTTTGCGTGTTTTCTTGGCTGCTTGGGCTAAGGAGTTCCCTGAAATACTCCTGCCACCTGTTTTTAATGCTATCTTCTTCACTGAGTGGGTTTCCATCTTCGTCATTGACAACTGTTGTGAACGGGTCCATAGACAGAGAAACAAAAATGTGAACCCAAAAAGCCAACGCTGTCACCTTTCAGCTCGCACCACTCCTTTATCACCCAAACATCTCCATTGACACAAAGAGACAGCTTATCACCTCAATATCCATACCAACATTATGCTACTGGTGCCAGACCAGGACATTAAGTAAAACCCATGAAAGCAAAATCACCTCATGCGAAATTAAATGTTTCCGCAAAACCTTTAACACCACAAGACGAGACAGGCAGAGAAATGAAGAAGTAAGAGCAGCTATAATTACTGAGTCCTGCCTGCATTACATAGAAAGACAGAATAAAATGGTTTAGCCACCTGTTACGTGTGTCACCTGGCCAAACAGCCTCTAGACCTTACAACACCAAGCGCTCAAGCTATAAAGGAAAAGGACGGCCACGCAAAAGGTGGATCGAGGGTGTCAAGGAAACCCTAAGAAAACATATTATCACAACTGAAATAGCTGCGGAGCTGGCCTACTGTTAAAAACTGCATCTCCCCTCGACGCTTCACGTTAACGGAAGATGAAAAAGTAAACGTAAAGTAAGTAGGTATTTGCTTATTGTTTAGGAAAGAATGTATACAATCCTCCTGTAGAGTACAGTAGCTCTCGGTGGTTGAACTATAATATCTGGTCTCGTGGTCTAGAGGTATTGTGTTTGCCTCTCTGTCAAAATATTCCTGGATCAAAACCTGCCAGTGACAAAAAAGATTACGTCTCTAAAATGTTCTTCTATTCTCGAATCCTGTTCTGACTTCTGCTTCCTCTCCACTCTCTCACTTCTCCACACCATCACACCCCCCTCCCCTCCCGGCCTTTCTTTACTCCTTTCTCCCTTACCCCTGACTCCTTCTAGTGCTACTCATGCATGGCTCATTCTTATTGCTGTCTCTTAGCCACACACTTGCTCTTAGGGTAGGTAAAAGAATATTAAGAATATAAATAGCATTAGTACAGTACTTATCCCCTTCTTGAGAGCAAACTCCATAAATAATATGACCTAATCGTGTTGCAAGTGCCGTGAAACACTTACTGAAGCTTTACTTTTGCTTTTTAGATCAAAACAGTATTGTCTAAAATGAAATTGAGTATGAATGATTACATACACAATTCCATCTTGGACAGGTTTCTAGATCTCTCCGTCTGATTGGGCAATTTCGACCAATTCAAAAGGTAGGCTAGGCCTATGCTATACTTCAATCGGCACCTTCAACAATTTATGTTTTAGTAATTTCGTCCATTGGACATTATAAGGTCGGTTGTTATAAGCCAAATTGGTATCCTAAAACTGTCCGTATAATATAAATACTGCACAGTAGGGGGTCTGGCAGTAAATACACGTATACCATGTTACCCATGCCATTATTTTGGGCGAGGGGGGGGGGGAGGGGAGGGGATAAAAGAATCACGGGATGAGCGTTGGTAATAGAATGAAGAAAGCAGTATTTGGGTTCTCCTCTTTAATTTATGTGGTTCTGTATTTTCTTCTACTTTAAAAAATCATAATGATAATTGATTTATAATAATAATACAATTGCATTTACATCGCGCATATCCGGATATCAAAACTTTACAGCATCTTCTATGCACACAAATTATTATTTCGCAAGCTGTCTTCAGAATACTCAGAATTCTTGTCAGCTTTCCTAGAAACACATAGATCATTTTAAAGCATACTTTGTCCAAAACTGATGATTTATATTCTCTATATCATTGTCTAATGTGAAATCCTCATTGTCATCCGCCCCATTTTTCTCTCCACAGATACATCTAAAATCCAAAAAGTAGATGTGCCGGCAAATGTGTCACATTGCACGCTATCAGGTCTGACCACAAAGCAGACTTACCTCTTGACTGTGCAAAGCAAATCGCACAGAAGATTTGGGGTTGAGGCACATCCCTGGAAATCAGCGATTGTGAGGGAAGGTATGTAATTTGTCCATGTTAGAATTATTGACAATTACGATGAATGACAATGAGAAGCTTGTGTACAACAGTAGTGAATAATTCCAGTATAGCTTAAAATAAATAACAAATACGAGACACAGCTGAACTGTTTGGCGATTTTTTTTCTGCCTCTGAGAAAAACAATGATTTCTGTTCTTTACCTACATCGTGAATAGACCTGAGAAACTTTGTTTTCAGAATAAACATGTTGTAAAGCTTAATTGATATTTGTTGTATGATGAAATCTATATTGGATTCTTATAACTTATATAGATGAGGCTTCCACACATTTTTGGACAAAACGCTACATATCTGCATTATATTTTTTTTAAAGGAGACGAATCCTGATCGAATAATGTTAATTTTTTTAAAAGCATCCCTGGGTCTGATCTAAAAGTGATAAATGATACCAGTACTCATAAAACGTCCGTTATAATGATAACAAAATCAACAGAATGTGTGGTTTCGTTAAACTGTGTGTATGAGCAGGTCAAGTAAGCCAGTATAATTCTGTCTCAGTCTATATTTTTATCTAAATAGTTGCTTTTTAATTTTGTTCAGCCTCAAGCTATAATACCATGTCTATATGTTTCAATTTCAACTAAAGGGGAACTTTTAAATATGAGAAAGACTAACACATTATTATTACACGACTTCAATAATTAGGAATGGAAAGAACTGCTGGCAAACTTTCTCTAACCACGAGCGAAGTCACGTGGTTTGGGGAAAGAATTTAATTTTTGCCCAGTTGATTTTGTGTTGCTAGTTGTCAGGAAAGTCGACCGCTCTTGTCCCGTTTTGTTTTTCAGAACCCCCTCCCCCTTTCCACTGACTGCAGTTATTTAAAGAGGAATGTTTATGGTTTGTTTAAAAAAAAAAAGAAAGTTAATAGTTTCGCCCAAACGAACAGGTGTTTGTCGCTTTTTGTTGTCAAACTGTTCGCATGCTCGCTCTCTCTCTCTCTCTCTCTCTCTCTCTCTCTCTCTCTCTCTCTCTCTCTCTCTCTCTCTCTCTCTCTCTCTCTCTCTCTCTCACTCTCTCTCTTTCTCTCTCTCTATCTATCTCTATCTATCTCTCTCTCACTCACTCACTCTCTCCGTCTCCGTCTCTCTGTTGGTGTGTGTATGCATGTGTGTGGGGAAGGAGGGGGGAACGTGCGCATGTGTCTGCCTGTCTCTGCATGGCGAAATCACAACTTGCCTTAGAGAAAAATGTTGCGCACAGAAGATGGTTTTTATGGAGGCTTCTTGTGGGACAAGAATTTTGTAATGCTCTTTAAAAGATGTACTGTCTTCTCCTCTCTATGATGAGCCCAAGATATTTTGGTTGTTGTTTTTTTACTCGTGTTGGTGCATGTGAAGTTTACTAGGTTTACTTCGGTGTTTCTAAACTGAAAGAAAAGTGTTTCCCTTTATTTATCTTTGAAATATATGCACAGTATTTCTATTTACGATCTCCATAACTATATCATAAAGAGCCAAATAGGTTGTAGACCTACACAATTAAATCAGTTATATTTTAAGTACCCCCCCCGCCCCCAAGATATTGCGTAATTGATAGCGGACAGTTTTTATTATTATTTTGTTTCCCAAACAAACAAGGTGGGAAACACATTTTTTCCGCATATAACATACATTTTGAGTATCTTTTGCACCTCCTCACTATCCTGTTGATTCTGCTTCTCCCTATGACAATTTAATTCATTCATTGATGAGTTAGTTTGTGACCTTTTTCAAAATCTTTTAGATAGAAAAGACGTTCATTGAGAGATGCTACAGGCTACGAAAGTAAAAAAGGACATGTAACGACATGTGAATGAGAGTAAATTTGGGTATAAAATAGATCTAACTGTGGTACTTTAGGAGAGATCTCCCATTGTATCATGTGACCTGTGTTTGTTTGGTGAGTTCACCAGCTCACTCTCACTCTCACTCAAAAAGAGTCAGTCAAGAAACTTCCGAGTGAACAAATGACTTTACAATCTCTGAGCTGTCTCTGTTAACAAAACGGTCGCGACTTTACAGAACCCATGAAGCCCATGATGACATGGAAGAAAGGGAAAATAATAAAAAATAAAATGAAGTGACTAGCAGCAATGAGTTCAAGTCAGAAAAATAAAAAAGTAACAATTATTGCTGTCGATTTTTAACTTAGTGGCGAAGAGCAATGGGCCCGGACTACAACAGCACGACCAGAACTGACATAATGTCCTTGTTATAGCCTTGAAACACGTTTATCATCACTTTTTAACTAAGAACTTGTTCACTTTTGTCTGTCTGCGCTAAAAAAAACACACTCTTTCTCATTTACAAACCTACCTCTATGTCCACGAAAATTTGCATGACACTTCTGCAGGCCAGCGACCATACAAAATGAATCTGTTAAAAATCTGTATCGAGTAATAAAGAAAACTTTCTTTCTTTCGGCTCTATATTGAAAATCACTGTTCAGGTGCAACACAGGATCACAAAAATAAATGATTCACTGTAACCAAGCCACAAATTGTTCACTTTGAGGCAGTGACCCCACCTTGCCCCCACATTTCAGTGTCAGCGTGTTTATTTCACCCCCATGAATGTAAAGCTTGTTCACGTTCATCTGACCCCGTTGCAAAAATAAATGCATTTATTAATATACCTCTACTCACGAAACTTCGCATTGTACTTTTGCAAGCCCGTGACTAAAAAAGAATATTTTCCCAAAAATGTTGATCCAATACCAAAAAAAAAGTGTGAAGAGCATGCGGATAAGGAAAGACCCATACAACTCGACACGCATTATAAATGATAAAGAGGGAAACGCCATTCTCGGCAAACATACAATCAAGAAAAGATGGGAAAATTACTTCCAAGAACTGCTCAACCCAGACGCTTGCCACGGACAACAAGTAGAGTTCCAACCACCCTATGGAAATCAAACAGATCCACCAATACTTCCCAGCGAAATAGAAAAGGCACTCAAGACCAGCCCCAAGAACAAAGCCCCAGGACCAGATGACATCACAGCGGAAGCCATGAGAGCTTGTGGAAACACCGGTATACTGTGGCTGAGACGTATTTTCAACAGAGCCTGGAAACAAAGAAAATGGTCAGAAGACTGGCAGAAAGCCATAGTGGTAGCATTATGGAAAAAAAGGGCAACAAACGCGACTGCACAACATATAGAGACATCTCATTGTTACATGTATTATGTTAAGCCACTCAGGAAAAATGTATGCAAAGATACTAGAGCAGCGCATAAGACCTATTGTAGAGAGCAAAGCTCAGTTTGGATTCCGAAAGGGAAGAGGATGCACGGATGCCGTATTCGTATTACGACAGATATGCGAGAAAACAATAGAACACAACAAAGAATCCAACATCGTCTTTATAGACCAGGAGAAGGCTTTTGACAGAGTAAACCATGCAAAACTCAGGAAGACACTCGAAACGTATGGCGTCAGAGGACAATTGTTAGATAATGTCAGAGCTCTATATACCAATAGCAGAAGCGCAGTAAGAACGAAGGAAGGAAATACAGACTGGTACAAAGTAAGATCTGGAGTACGACAGGGATGCGTTCTATCTCCCCCCCTGTTTATAAAATATATGGACACAATAACGCAAGAAGCAAACCAAAGCCCAGAAAGCCTAAATGAATTTCTGTTCGCAGACGACCAATGTTTAATTCATCATGACCAACAAAGCCTCCAAAATCACACTACCGAACTCAACAACACCTGTGAGAAATTCAGCATGAAGGAGCACATCAAAAACAGAAGTTATGAAAGTGAGCCGAAACCATAGTCCCCTGAACATCCATGTCAATAGTAAACAACTGAAACAGGTAAAAGAGTTTAAATATCTTGGCAGCACTTTTTCTGAAAACGGGTACATAGACAAAGAAATAGAAATGCGAACTGAAAAAGCCAACGCTGTCACCTACCAGCTCGCACCCCTTCTATCTCATCCAAACATCTCCATGGACACAAAGAGACAGCTTATCACCTCAATATTCATACCAACATTATGTTATCAGTGCCAGACCTGGACCTTAAGCAAAACCCATGAAAGCAAAATCACCGCATGCGAAATGAAAAGTCTCCGCAAAACCCTTAACATCACAAGACGAGACAGGCAGAGAAATGAAGACGTAAGAGCAGCTATCGGCACTGAGTCCTGCCTGCGTTACATAGAAAGACAAAGGATAAAATGGTTTGGCCACCTGTTACGCATGTCACCTGACCAGCCAGCCTTGAGAGCCTACAACACCAAGCACTCAGGCTATAAAGGAAGAGGAAGGCCACGCAAAAGGTGGATCAAGGGTGTCATGGAAACCCAAAGAAAACATAACATCACAAATGAAAGAGCTGCGGAGCTGGCCTACCATAGAAAACTGCATCTCTCCTCGACGCTTAACGGCAACAGAGGATGAAAAAGAAAAAGTAAAAGTAAAAGACAACAAACAAAAAAAAAAAAAAAAGATTTTCTCTTTGAGCCCTATATTAAAAACCACTCTTTGGCTGAATTCTCAGGATCACTAAAATAAATGACTTACAGACACTTTCAATAACCTTGGCTGCAAATTGCTCATTTTGAGATTTCGACACCACTCGGAACCTTAGTATGAGTGACCTATGCGAATGGGCTTTTCAATTATGTTGGTCATCCACCTTTTCGATCGTATTCGAAGGTCTTAGATGATTAAACAGAACGATTTCATTCCAGATCTAGATCTATCTTGTTTTGATAGCGGTCAGACGAAAGTGAACAAGGAAAGTCCTTATCTTAATTTTTTCTAGTTCCTTAGTCTCATGGAGGTTGACAAGATATAATTATGAAAATAATATAGTGCAAGCCATGCTCTACAGCAGGCTCTTTGCAGTATACAACTTTTTCCGTAGACTCTATGGACCGGCTATTACTTGGGAAAAGGAACACTCATTCATCTGCAGTAGATTGAGCACCCTGTGCCCTGTGCCTACTTTACATTTATCATGTTCCAGTTACATGTCTCACCACCCCGTGGGCAGACAATGTGACGATGTGGTGCCAGACCAGGTCACGTTAAGTAAGACACTCGAGTCACTAATTGGAAAATGTGGATTAACACCGACGTGTATCCAGCTTTTCCCCCTCTTTACCTGCATTCTTGGTATGACGCATCATAACCAGCTAAGGCTCCTTGTAGGTCGTGTACGCATAATTCGCCATGGATTTTATTTTGCTTTGTTTGACTTTTTCTGCTTTCTTGTCCATGTGCTTTGGGATTTTGTCAATATTTGAGCCACTGTTGCAGCCAGGGATGACTGTTCCGAACGCCTAATTTTAGAAGAACTTATTATCTGTAGCCTACATTCTAAGAGGTCGCGCTCTGGGGTTTGTGATAAGACCGCTGTACCCGAAATCCTGTTGTAACCGAGATTGTTATAAATGGGGCCTACTGTAAGTGGATGCAAATTGTTTTTTGTGAGTCTGCTAAAAAGTTATAGGTTTACCAGTAAGACGTAGAATATTTTACCAGAAGAGCCACATAGTGTGTTGTTGGACCAATATATTAAATGCTTTCTTTTCTGTTTTTCAGGAAATGAGGAGGCTTCAAACGTTCCACTTATAATTGTTATAACTGCAGCTGTCTTTCTGGTGTTGTAAGTAATTTCATTCTTTTGGTGTCATCTGAATGCTTTCAGAGTACAAAAGTGATTTGGATATTTTTGTCACAGCTTTAAGAGTCTTTTGACACAATAAATATATGTAAATCATGATTTGATGCCTTTACACCACGGTACAATGGATGAATTTCATGAAAAAAATTGTCTTGAAAAAAGCTTTATACTAATTTCCAAAAGAAACTTGACTTAAAAATAGTGTTAAGTAAAAAATAAATCTTTGTAGACACAGGGACAAAATTTTACATCTGAAAAGAAGAAGCATTTCTCAATTTGAAAACCTGTATTTTAATGCACAAAATGCACACCTGGTGCTTCAAGCCCCACCTGAAGTGATAGGGTCCAAATTTAAAAAATCAGAAAATGTTCATTTTTTCAACAAGAAACTTTACATTGACCTAGTCATCCTAAATTGTGGTTTTCGAAACGTATGATAGCTCCTCTGCACTGAGACGCGGCATGATTGAAAGTCGACATTTTACTAGATTTCTGAAGCTCGCAGTTCAAATGTAAACGATGTTTTCATAAACTTATTACACACCTTTTGTAGGTTTTGAAATAAGCTACACATTGAGGGCAAAGACAACACAGAAAACGCATGCTTAACCGAATAAAAAGTTAAAAATGAAATCATACTAAACACACAGAAGTGAGTGAACTCACTTAGCTGTGTTGTCAAAATTGATTCAGAAGACGGTAAAACCAATACACTCCACTGAACATAAATATCATCATTATCCGTTTTGATTTAATAGTATTATGTTCAAAGAAAATGTGTCAAGTTTCTTTTGGAAAAGAGTATATAAATATTTGGGTGCGCCCGCGCGCGCGCGCATG